TGTACAAAATGGCGTATTAATGCGGATAATTAAGTAAATTCAAAATTCAAGACCTGTCGTTTTTATACATGTCATAATTGACATTTAAGGTGCTAAAATTAAAAATTCAGCCAAAAATGGTTAATAATGTAATAATAATAATAAACTTTAAATTTTTATCATTTCCCAAAAGTTGGCTAACGTTACCTAGGCTACATCATCAGTGAAAATCAGTAAAATTAATAAATACGAAAAATAAATAGCTATTTATATATGACACATGACCAGGCATTACGTTTGGAATTATCTTATATTGGGGGGCCTTTGATTCAAAAAGGTTGAGAAGTGTTACTAAGGTTTTGAGTTAAAGTCCATTTTTTTCTATAGCTGTTGGGTTAACATGTGAACCCAATAAAACCACACTGGAATACGGACAGGCAAGGGTCAACTATATGATGAAAGTACATTTTAACTAATAGGTTGAATCGTTCTGAGGACAAAGGTATTCTTTGTAAATGTCAGGTTAGGGCAAGTTATGTTAAGTTAAGTTATTAATTTTTGAAAAATAGGCTCATTTTCCCCAAAAGTTGGCTAACGTTACCTACATCATCAGTGAAAATCAGTAAAATTAATAAATACGAAAAATAAATAGCTATTTATATATGACACATGACCAGGCATTACGTTTGGAGGGAACATCTGACGAAAACAAATAATAAAATAAAAATATTAATTTAAGTATCGAGTGCTTATAAAGGTAAACGGAAATTACTTCGTTTGTCGTGTGCAATGAAAGTAATATGACCTGTTAAAATAGACCTGTTTAACCTTTTCGGATATATTAAAGTAACAGAGAGGAACCATGCAGACAGTCATATTTCCATCCATACCATAGCATGATTGAGTCAAGCGTCTCGGTGACGTACTCGGGGATCAAGCACAGTTCAGGGAGGAGCGTTGAGCAGAAGTCCTCAGATGAACTAAACGTTTAGTTCTGTCTCCCAAGAGAGTGATCGTGTACGAACAGATTCAATGGCACTACGTTCAGCTAGTGATTCTCAAACATTTATAATCGGATGCGGCATCTCGGGAATTGGTGCAGCTCAGAAATTACTAAAACACGGTTTTCATAATGTACACATCATAGAAGCGACTGCGAGAAGCGGTGGGAGAGTACGAACGGGCAGACTGGGTATGTACAGGCATATCATTTGATTCACTGATGGAGAAATTTAGGGTTTATAAGTTATTTCAATTTGTTTACTTTTGTCATCTTATATGATGACTCGCTGCCGTCTCCTGTCATTTCCTATGACAGGCCTACATGAAAATGGATTAGCATGTTATTTTTACTTAGAATCAAACGATGTGTATAATTATACTGATATTTAGCATTCAGTAGCACTCTGCAATGTGTTTTGCAACTAACATCTGAACACAGAAACAACGACTGTATTCGATTGGCCTAGAAAATCGCAACTTTTCATTTTCCGTCGGTCTTAGTACACGATGTAACTACAGAAGAGTCAAGTTTTAAATAGGAAAAATATCGAAACCCTTTGGTCATTTTGAGCGAGATGCTAACGGTCTAATCAGATTCAATGATCTATGCTATGCAGCAGCTAAAAATGCTACTGCCAGACCTGGAGATCAGATGAATGGATTCGAAAACGGTAAAACTCAACTGTTTAACTCTAGGGGAGTTGGAAAATTAGCCTATTATCAAAAATAGTAGCGTGTTCCTTTAAGCAATTTTTTAACTACAGTATTTTTTAGCCACAATTAATGGTTTGATATACTTTTTTACCTCAATGTTTTTGCTGTTTTCTTGTGTTGTTTTGTATTATACTTGTTTTACTTTTTTAATTTAAGCATAGTGCCACAAGAAGTCTTGTGTGTTTTCAGTGTTGAATATTTCAAATATTTTCAATTTTCTTTTGTTGCCAAGACTAGAATGTACTCTGGGTAATATTCAGTAGAGTGAAAGGCTAGCCCTGGTCTTCTCCATAGATGTATATCACATTTATTTTTTTCCATTCATTCAAGGTGATAACATTGTAGAGATCGGCGCCAACTGGATGCATGGCCCATCAAAGGAAAATCCAGTATTTCGTTTGGCATGTGACTACCAGCTCCTTGACAAAGAGTCAATGTCTGAAGAAAACCAGAATATTGACATTGGTGGTCATCCGCTGTTTGTTCCTAACTGGTTTACCAGTTCAGGTCGGAAACTGGGGCCTGAGACGATGGGGCCAGTGATGGAGTTTTTCATGAAATTACTGGAAAAAAGTCAGCAATTCCATGACGGTGGTGGAGAACCTCTGCCGAGTGTTGGGGAGTTCATCAAGGCAGAGGTTGAACGACTGGCCCCTGAGGAGTGGAAGGAGGACCAGGCTAACATTGCAATAAAAATGGCCATGATAAACACACTGCTCAAGCTGGAGTGCTGTGTCAGTGGAACTCACACGATGGATGATGTAGGCCTGGGAGCCTTTGGCATGTATAAGACTCTTCCAGGATTGGACTGCATTTTCCCAGGGTGAGTGATCAGAGCCTTTTCTTGTACATTTTGAAGTGCCTCAATTATCCAATTCCAAAATGCTAGATCTTGTAAAGTTTGCAAACTAAACATGTTCATGCACTCTTTTTCCTCCTAGAGGTTACGAAGGTTTAATTGATCACATGATGATGGAACTTCCCAAGGACGTAATCTTGTACAACAAACCAGTGAAGTGCATTCACTGGAACTACACCAAGAATGGACCAAAAACTACAGGAACATCATTCCCTGTTATGATTGAATGTGTTAATGGAGAGACATTTGCAGCAGATCATGTTATTGTCACTGTCCCACTGGGTACATATAGATTCAGCATGACTTGTTGGCTTAGTGAACAATTTGCATCTAAAGCTTATTTGCAGCTTATAATATTGGTTTGGTAATTGCAAATAGCATAATCTATTCATTTTAAATGCATGCGCTTTAAAGTTGATTTTTAAAGAAATACACTGGGAACGGTTAATACAAAGTACTGCCTTTATCCACCTTTTTCTTCAACACGGAAGTAAGCCTCTGGGTGAGACTTCCGGTTCATTAGCCGCTATAGGGAAATAACGAGGAGAATAACAGTGCAGTAAATGGTAAAACTGTTTGCACTACAAACCTGTGTGTTCATAATTAAGATAATACATTAAAATAGTATGATAAGACACACCAGTTTTCGATATCAAGCAGCAAAATGAACTGTTTTGTACAGCTGTGTAGCTGGATGCGGATGAGACCGGAAGCTAGACCCATAGAATTTACAAATGGCTGTGCCCATTTTTACGGCAAGAAAAAGGTGGATAGAGTGGTGCAGGTATGACATCAGAATCCAGAAGACTAGTCATCGCTGGTTCCTTCAAGATTTTCCTATGGAGTTTTATAATGGGGTTTTTCAATTTATGAGTAAAATAAAGCTTGTGGTAAACATAACTTGACGATACTATGATGTTTTGTTCTATAACACGCACTCACACCCCAAACTGTCTTATTTAGTCACTTATTATGAACCTACATTTTCAAAAATAAACATAACTGCTTCAAAATGTGCTTTTTCAGTATGGGTGTGTGCAGTTTACATTGTAAAACAAATGTCAAAGCATCGTCAAGTTGCCATGTGTACCACAGGCTTTATTTTACTCATAAATAAAAAAAAAAATTATAAAACCCCATAGGAAAATCTTAAGGGACCAGTGGCGAATTAGTATTCCAGGTTTTGATGTCATACCTGCACCACACTATTTTTGTCTGATTTACAAAGTCAGATGATTGATTTAGTTTTTTCTCCTCATTTTCATAGTATAGCTTATAAGATTTTATTTTTAAAAAATAAAATGTATATATTTTCATAATGTTGCTTCATAACTTTATTGTTACAGTATCTGCAAGGCCTTTAACTCATCTGATGTACTGTTTCATTACAGGATACCTGAAGAAGCACCAGAGCACTTTTCTGAGCCCTCCTCTTCCACTGCACAAATTACACTCCATCCAGAGAATGGGCTTTGGGACCAACAACAAGATCTTTCTTGAGTTCGAGCAGCCTTTCTGGGATGAAGACTGTGAAGTGATCTACCTCGTATGGGAGGACGAGACACATCTTGCTGATGTTGTTTCTGATGTAAAGATGTCCTGGATTAGAAAGTTAATTGGGTTCAATGTGCTGAAGCCCACAGAGAGGTAAACATAACCTTTGATTTTGATTTTATTTGATCTTCAAATAGTGCAATTTGTGGCATTATAAATCTGACATTTCTTTTCTGATGTTGTGCAGATATGGACATGTGCTCTGTGGATGGATCGCAGGGTGGGAGTCTGAGTACATGGAAACTCTGTCTGAACTTGAAGTGCTGCACAGTGTCACACAGCTCCTGCGCATATTTACTGGTAACATTTTTACTTTGTACAAGAGATTTACAGCTTAATAGGACATCCTTTGATGGGGTCCAAAAGTCTGAGACCACACTGGAAAAGTAGGATTAAAAATCTAATTTAATACCTGGAAATATACAGATCAGCTAACATGAATAAATGAATAACCTATGAAATTTTTCATAATAATTTTCAGGAAATCCAACTATTACACCAAGGAAGCTTTTACGATTCAGCGATGCAAATATGGCTTATCTTTTAGTAAACAATAAAAATAACTTTTCTGAATTCAAATAACCGGTGAGTGGTATGTCATACGCCTGCAATTGCAACATTTATTTTTTTTATTTATTTCCTACAAAATTTCCTTTAAATCAGAACTTGACAGAAAAATGTCATATTTTTGCTGAGAAGTTAGTGCAGTTTATTTACCACATGTGTATTTTATGGTTATTTTAGTTTAGCCAACTGTGAAATTGCGTGGTGATGATAAGATGATAATAATGCAGTCTCAAAAGTAATTTCGATTTAAAAAAAAAAAACGCAATTACGTCGTTGGGCAGAGCATTGATATCTGCCTTTTTTGTTATAGTTCTGGTTCAGCCTTTGGAAAGATTCACGTCCAGTCTCAAGAGGAGCTAGTGCAGTTGAATTAGAGCTGGGCATCAGAAGTCAAAGACTTAGTTAAAATGGAGCAAGGTTTGCCATCTGCAAAAGCAATTTCCCAGCACTTTATGAATGGATGCTTAAAAAGTGAAGATGACAGTTCACTGACCTTGCATTCAGACTTCATTAAGTCAGAAATACAAGTTAAAGTGGAACCTGATCAAGATGACTCCTCATTGCTTGATGTGAATGAACTAGGAACATTTCCTCATTCTCAGGGGAATATTAAAGAGGAGTTTTTGGACCTTGGTCTGCAAATCTTACCAACTGGCCTAATGCCTCCAGTTGAGATGGAAGAAGAGCTTGAAATCACAAAGAACACACACAATTCTCCAGATGAACCTCTGAACAGAAGAACTGACTCATCGAGCAAAAGAAAAAAATGCACAGACAAGCAGAGAACAACGAGAAAAAGAAAATCAACAGAGCGAACAGAACAAATGATACCAACTGAAATGAATTCTGATGTGTCAAACGAAGGAAAGAAATGTTTAATAATGCAGGGAAATGCTACACGGCATCCAGAGAAAGCAGGTAAAGGCAGAACATCCAACAAACATCACAAAGAAAAGCGATTTAGTTGTGAAACCTGTGGGAAAGAATTCCAGCGGTCAGATCTTCTCACGGATCACGTGAAAATTCACAGGAGACAGAAACCATACGCTTGTGATCATTGTGAAATGAAGTTTGCCAAGCCCTCTTATTTAAAAATACACTTGCGTAGACATGCTGGCGACAGGCCTTTTCCATGTAACCAGTGTGAGAAGAGGTTTTTTGACATCTATGACTTAAGGGTGCACCAGAGAGATCACACTGGAGAGAGACCTTATATGTGCCCTGAGTGTGGGAAGAGTTTTAAACGCGTTTACATACTTAACAAACATAAACGGACCCACTCAAAGGAGAGACCTTTCCAGTGCTCTGTGTGTGGTAAAGCATACAGATATGGGTACAGTTACAGGTTGCATCTAAAAGACCATCTTGATTAGGATCCATGATGTGTATCTGCATATTTCTTAACAATGAAAGGGTCTACATTTTTATTCCTTCCTTAAAGGATGAATGTTTCCTTATGTAACGTGGAAAATGTGTTTTTAGTATTTATTTAATTTGAGAGGGCCGTTTGACTGAAATTGACTAAAATCATTTTTTTATCTATGCTTTTTATGGTGGTTTGAATGAGTCATCTCCTCATGAATGAGTTTGTTCCACTCTTGAAGAGTGTATAGTTTGCTCATGTAGTTGTCCAATGATTTATAATAGACAATACTTTTGCTTTTTACACATTTTTAATGTTTTACAAGCAGCTTTCTGTAGCAAGCTTGCATTAAAATGAGATGATTATAAAATGAGATGATTACAGATTTAAGTCTCAGTTCTCTTTCTGACATTTTGTGTTGGAAGAAATGTTTCACTTCAGAAGAATCAAATGTGGCATGGAGAAGATATCACAAAACAGTATAGAATCAAGTTTGTATGAAGTAAAGTATCAGCAGCACTGTGAAAACAAACCTTGCTTGAGTGAAATATTGACAGAATGGAAATGGTTTGGAAATAAAGGTAATTTCGCTATGATGGCCCATGTTCTGTACACATATATTTCTATATCTATACTACCGTTCAAAAGTTTGGGGTTGATTTTTTTTTTTTTTTTAAATCTTATGCTCACTGAGGCTGAACTTGATTTGATAAAAAAATACAGTAAAACAGTAATATTATAAAAAATTAATACAATTAAAAAAACATTTCTATTTGGATATACATCCACAGATTCTTCAGAAATCAGTCTAATATGCTGATTTGCTGCTCAAGAAATATTTCTTATTATTATCAATGTTTCTGAGGAAACTGCGATGTATTTTCTCAGCATTTGATGACTAGAAAGTAAAAAAAAATAAAATAATTTTGTAAAAGAAATCTTTTGTAACATTATGAACTTTACATTTCATTTCAATCAATTTATTGCAACTTTGCTGAGTAAAAGTATACATTTGTTTTAAAAAAAAACTTGCTGTCCCCAAATTTTGGAACAGTATAAATAAAAATGTTGTCATCAGTTACTCACTCTCATTTCGTTTCAGACTTGTTTGGCTTTCTTTCACCATTGACCTTCATTGTATAGATAAAAACATTTGAAACAATCTTCAAAATATCTTATTTGATGTTCCACAGAATAAAGAAAGTCATACGGGTTTGGAACAACATGAGGGTGAGTACATGTTGGGGTGAACTATTCTTTTTATATTTCTCCACCAGAGGGAGGCCAAATGCTTTACATTCTGACCACTCCTGAGTTTTGCTGAGTAAGCAAATGCCCAGTATGCAGCCAGTTTCAATAGAACTGTTCAGATCAAAATGTTGACAATGCTGGCACAAATATTTAAAGTGTTTTTGTTTTATATTAAAAATGGCATCTTTTGCGAATTCATAATTTTAGTATAAAGTAATCAGTAGTGTAAGGAATAAGAGGAAAGAAAATGTTCTGTGTGTGTTATGGTGGAGTCATGTAAATTATGTACTAAAAGTCTAATTCAAATGAATAATACCACTGATGCATATTTTGAACTTTCTTGTAAATTTAATGATAACACTACAACTGTTTGTGCTTTTTGCGTTTATATTTTTACAGTTTTGTCCATGGTGTGCCTTAAAAAGCCTGCAGCTAAGGTTACAGATAAACAAAGAGAAGAATATGAATCCATTGCTGCCCTTGATTTGCAATCTGAAGTCTCTGATAGTGATGGCCCAGAATGCCACCATGGCCCAGATGTGACAGAGGGTCAGAAAACTGTCCTCACAGACTTCAAGTTCTCATCTGAGTAATCTAGTGATGAGGAGAGTGAAGATTGTTTGAGTCGATGGAGTAAAGGAGACTCTTATTGGAGCAAATATCCTCCTCAAAGTGAAATCAGGACCACCTCACAGAGCTGTCCAGGACCTGCATCAGGGTCTTCAGTAGAGACGCCTAAAGATGCCTGGGAACATTTCATGAGTGAAAACATCATTGATGAGATCCTGCATTGCACCAATTTGGGTGGAATGAGAGCAGCGTTAGCAAAAGGCAAAGTGTGACAAATGATTACTAAAGAAGAGCTAAAAGCCTTTATTGGTCTGAGCCTTCTCATCGGTGTAGAGAGAAGTTGCAATGTCCCAATCCGGGAACTGTTTATGGATCCGTTACAGAACCCACTGTATAGAGCAGGGCTGCCCAAACTCAGTCCTGGAGGGCCGGTGTCTTGAAGAGTTTAGCTCCAACCCCAATTAAACACACCTGAACCAGCTAATCAAGCTCTTAAGACATACTAGAGACTTAAAGGCAGGTGTGTTGAGGCAAGTTGGAGCTAAACTCTGCAGGACACCGGCCCTCCATGACCGAGTTTGGGCAGCCCTGGTATAGAGCTACCATGTCTGTTGGTAGATACCAAGATCTTCACAGATTCCTGCAATTTGATAACAAGAAAACCAGACTGGTAAGAGAGGCATCAGACCACATGGCAGCCTTCCGAAATTTGTGGGACCTGTTCATGATCAACTGTAGGAAAAGGTTCATCTCCAGGGATTTTAAGCAGCATGACTGTTTTCCACCCTGATAATAATAAATGTTTCTTGAGCACCAAATCAGCATATTCGAATGATTTCTGAAAGATCATGTGACACTGAAGACTAGAGTAATGATGCTGAAAATTCCACTTTGCTTATATAATGTGATTCCTTCTGCCATTGCACTGAAGAGTCAGCAGCAGGAGAAACAGTGGTACAGCAAGTAGGCACTTTTATCCAAAGCCTTTAGCTGTATATTTTCCATTTGAGGCACTTTGGGCTAACTGTCTTCCTTAAAAGCACACATTTCATTCTTGTAGGGATCGAATCAGTAGCCTTCTAATACCAGCCCTTAGCCTCAAACACCATTCCAGACTGTGGTTGTTGTTGTGTAATCTAATGACCTTGCCTTATTATGTGTTTATTTCTCATGATAGGTCTCAACATTACAATGGACAGCTACTTCACCAGTGTCCCTCTGGCAGAGAAGCTTTTTGAGAAAAGCTTGACCATGGTTGGGACCCTTCACCATAAGAATCTACATGTGCCACCAATAATGAAGCCATCTAAGCTACGAGCACTACATACCTCTGAGTTTGATTTTTGTGGCAAAGTATTCATGGTAAGCTATGTGCCAAAACTAAAAAAGGCAGTGATTTTGTTGAGTACAATGCATACCAGCAATGTGCTGAATGAAACAAGTGCTAAAAACAAGCCAGAGGTCATTCAGTACTACAGCCGCACCAAAGGAGGAGTCAACACTGTTAAGCAAATGGCCGAAAATTATACCTGCAAGCGCCAAACAAAGAGATGGCCTATGCTGCTTTGGTATAACATGTTGGATATTGCCATTGTAAACTCCTACTCCATTTTCATTGCTCAGCACCCTAGCTTCATGGGAGGTGGTCATAACACCCAACGCTTGTTCATAAAAGAGCTGGTAAAAGAGCTTGTAGTGCCTTAGATTCATAGGCGCAGAGAATAAAGCCCTGGATTATCCATGAGCATCCTTGAGGCCATGGACAGATGTGGGATGCCCACTTCATTGTCAGCTGTCAGTTCTGAGCTCCAGGAACAGAGCTGTCAGAACAGAATAAGAAAAAGATGTTATTACTGTCCATCTGGAAGAGACAGAAAAGTGAGCAAGTTCTGTAGTGAATGTAGTCGCCCTGTCTGCAAAGATCACAGTCACGTGGTGGTGATTTGCTACCAGTGCATGCCTTAAGACCCAGACAGAAACAGTTTCTATATTTCTATTCTGTATTGATAATGATTGTACTGCTGACAAGTTCGTTTTTTTTAAGCACTGTTGTTTAAAATATTTAGTGTGTATTGTAAATATGGTTTCTTTAATTACTTGAATTTAATTCATCTTTGATTTATCTTTAATTGTACAATGTAAATTTGACCCATGTTTTTAGATATAATGTTGAATTCATAGATATTTTATCATTTTTATGCATTACACTTGATTGAACATTAAAATTGAGTCATTTACTATAGATTTATATGAATGCTATGCATCTGACTGAATCCTAGTACCTTCTTGGGGGTACTGTTACCTGATTAATTTAGATCCGTCAGGTGAATGAAGTTCTGAAAAGTGTCTTCAGAAAGGCAAGTGAGTACACTAACACCACAAGGTGGAGTACTAATCAGTTTGCCATTTTAGGGAAAGATACCTCAGGTGAGTTAATAAGTTGTTTTGTTGGTTTGCTGTGTGAGAATCCTTTAGATTATTTTAAAACCCATCTGGTCCAGCAAAATGCAGCCCTTATGTTCTGGTTGTATTTATTTCTTCTTCTTTCTTAGTATTATTTTCTTTACCACTTCTACTTTAATATGATTGATTAAATAGAAAACAAATGTTCATTCCAAAACTAATACTTGATGTGATTGTTTTTTTTTTTTCAGGTGTTTTTAAGCAACATTTCCCTGGGATCTGTTTGTGGTTCATCACTTAAGAATCTCACCCCTGTTGTTAAATAAACAAACCCATTTGCTTACATCAGCCTATTGGTTTCCTTAAGGTGTTTAGTTTCACATAATAGGCTATACCACTAACCTATTCCATATGAACTGGTGTCAGTTAAGTTGTATTGTAGGGGAGATTTACTAAAGTGTTTTAGTGGTTTTCTTTACCCTTACATTAAGCATGGGAGTAAAACACTTATATCATTAAACGACATTATTTAAATGCTTATAAAGTAGATTAGCTAAAACTGCAACCGCATATTTAGACATCTCGTTTAAAATCATTTAGGCTTTATGAAACCACGAACTAAGCAATTTGTTTAAATAGTTGTGTTTTTAAATACGTTTCGTGATAAATATGAATATTCTGTAGAAATTAGCCAGTAGCCAATAATCAACAGGTTGTCGTTAAATAAAATCTCACATGTTAAACAGCGCGTGTTGATTGGCCATGTGAGACAATGACGCGAACAGACGTTCATGAATATTCAATGAGGTCCTTGCTGTTACATTGCAAATAAAGCGAGATAACGGGCCGTGGACAGCGGGCTAAAACTTTTTATTCTGACATAACAGAGCAATGACATTTGTGTAATTATAAACCTGGGACACGGATCCCAGCGAAGGAGTAGGGTCTGTGCTGGAAGAAAAGAGAGAAGCGCTGATTTTTTTTTTGGGGTGTGGAAAACCGGACGGCGCATTCACAGTAGATTCTGACCAAGTTTGCCGTGTCCAGAAGTAACAGTGGAAGAGTAAAAGTTACAGTAACAATATGAGCTTGTTGTCTGCTATAGACACCAGTACCTCAGTGTACCAGCCTGCACAGCTTCTCAACTGGGTTTACCTTTCTTTACAAGACACGCATCAGACGAGTGCCTTCGATGCTTTCCGACCCGAGCCCAACTCTTCCCATCCGGACCTGAACTACAGCAAATCTCCTGCCAATGACCTGAGCTCCTCTCTCAACTCCAACTATCTCA